AACGCTAAACCATGGGGAAAGGTGTCATTGACGGCAGCTAGGCCTGTTGCCCTTCTAAAAATAGACGGATACCTTGACTGCAGTATTTGCAGGAGAGGAAGGCATAACATTTGCCCATAACAACATCTGTGATGTTCCCTCATGAGCCAGTCACATCCGTTCCCCCACCTGTAAAAAAGCAGAGGGTGTAACCCTAAACCAAGAGATAAAGCACGCTGTGTCCCAGTTCGCCTACTTATACTATGCCCTAAAAGTATGTGCTCGTTTTGTTAGGAAAAAATACATTTTCATACAATTATTTGTATAGCACTTTATACAATACAGATTGTGTCAAAGCAGCTTTACAGTGTTAAACAGGATAATAGTGTGCTGATAATGCAAGAGGACAATAGAAAACAGTTTTTCAGTTAAAGTCAGTTCATTGATGATTCAGAGATGTCATCACCCAGTTCAGTTCTCTTTAAATAGTGTTTGTGCAATCAAGTCAACAATACTGACAGAAATTAAGCATCCCTAACTAAGCAAGATAAGGCAACAGTGGCAAGGAACCAAAACTCCATTGGTGACAGAAATGGAGAAAAAACCTTGGGAGAAACCAGGCTCTGTCGGGGGGCCAGTTCTCCTCTGAACAGATGAAACCAGCATGGTGTGGTTTAATACCATGCTGCAGCACAGGTCAGATTGTGCAGAGGACTCGTCTTTTCACAGTTGACATCCTTTTATACACAGTCCACATTTTAGTTTATTTAATTTATGCTATACTCAACAATTCATCCTACCATATTGGAGAGAAAAGAAGCATGTTGATCTTCCAGTCGTGGGTCTTTCATGCTGAGAACTCACCTTATGTGTTTGCATAATGATGCCCAAATGAATGTCCAAATGTATTTCACATATAGTTCAGAATGTGTGTTAAATCCTCCTCCAAAGTGCAATGGGTTGTTGGCAACATCAGCCATTAGAGAATGCATGAATCTGCACTTTGAATTTCCATTAGAAATAGTAGATGATCTGGGTACCTTTGGGATACTCATTTCAACATGATTTGAAACACATTAATTCTAATTTTGAATACAATTTATGACAGATGCAAACTGGGATGCTTTTTTTTGTTTTTTTTTTGCCCATCAGATGTTGACAGCACCATCTATGGAACCAGCTCAACAGAAATCTCCCGCTTGATCAATAGGCTTGGAGAGTATGTTCTGAAAACTCTTGGGTTTCACAATGGTGTCCACAGGTTGCAGGTTTCAGTTCACAATGAAACCCCTTCTATCAACAGTGGCATAGCATCTGTAGGGGAATCTGCTTAAGTTTCGGAGGTAGAAATATCCTCCCTCTTAGGAAAAGGGATTATATAGAGTTCCACTGGAGGAAACTCAGAGGGGTTTTTACTCCATTATCTTCTGATAAAGATGGGGGATTTTGCATGATATTGGAGTTGTGTGCTCTACAAGCTTAAGTGTACAGATTTTTTTCCTCTTCTATTTAGGCTCAGCCTTAGCATCTTGCATGCTCAGCAGGTACATAGAAGCAGCTTTATCATCACTGAGAGACAAGGATCTCAGGATGCTGGTTTTGGGTGATTATCTGCTTTTCGGTCACTCACAGGAACATTGTGCCAATCGTACAATTTGAAAGGACAGTGGTGACGAGTCTCTGAGTTTTTGTTCAGGAACTTCCTCTGCCTTATGGGCATGATGTTCTTGTCACTGACATTAGTACACTGGACACTGGGTTAGATCAGGATGAGAGATTTTCGGCAGTGAGTGTGTCAACAATTGATCCCATCATGAGACCTGTCCATGGTACTGAATTCATGAACTCAGCACATTCTGAACTGCTGGAAAGTGTGAATATCATTCTTAATTTTAAGGTTAGTTATATTACTTGCTTTAGCTTCAGTCAAGCAGGTAGGTGAGTAACATGCTTTGTCAGTTTACCCAGCATATCTGAGCTTTAACACGGACTATAGTAAGGGTTCGCTATTGCTTATCTTCAGAAGGTCAGTGCTTTGTGTTAAAACGACACTGGAGTTACATGCCAAAACTCTTTATAACTGCACTGGAGTTTCAATTTTTCCAAAAATGTATTCACCCTCAGGCCATCCAATATGTAGATGAGTTTGTTTCTTCATTGGAACAGATTTGGAGAAATTTAGCAGCCAAACAGCTGATAAAAACATCACAATAATCCACATGACTCCAGTCCATCAGTTAACATCTTGTGAAGTGAAAAGCTGTGAAAATCCATCATTAACTCTTTTTTTGGACTGTTTTGGCTTGTAAACGGTGATTGATCTGTGCAGATTTCTCTCCTGATTCAGACAAGACGACTTTTTTCACTGGAGAAAGCAATATTATGGATAGAGGACTCATATTTTAGCTGAAAGCAAATTTAAGGTTCGAGGTTAAAAACATATTTTCACGTCACAAGATGTTAACTGATGGACTGAAATGGTGTGGATTGCTTGTGGATTATTGTGATGTTTTTATCAGCTGTTTGGACTCTCATTCTGACGGCACCCATTCACTGCAGAGCATCCTGAGACAGTGATGCAGTGCTACATTTTTCCAAATCTGATGAAGAAACAAACTCATCTACATCTTAGATGGACTGAAGATGAGAAAGTTTTCAGCAAATGTAAATTTTTGGGTGAACTATTGCTTTAATATCCGACTGGATGTCACTGTGCCTTCAGTAGCTCATGCAGTTCCTGAAGTCGGTTCGCTATAGAGTAATGAGAGGTTACAGTATCTGTCATTCTGTTCAGGTCTGTTTAAAGGCTTCAGAAAGAATGCACTACAGGAGTTGGCCATATGTTTCCTATAATGAGATACCAAGCGAATGTTTAGAGAATCTGTGCTGTTCTCACATACGCATACGTATGTCAACCTAAAATGACCTGAAGGACATGTGCTAGCGCTCAGTCTAGCTCTGATAGACCGATGGGCAAGTGTTTCAGATTTGTCACATGGGTTATCAATGGAGATCTGAGTTTCTGTGACAATACAACAGTGCGCAGGGCATAAAGGGCATAAACTCTACAGGTGACGTCCAAGAAAAAAAAAAAAAAACCTTGCTTGATCATCAGTACAAACCTGAACAACATAAAAAGAGGCATGATGAACATTGGGAGACTTTCCAGATTTAATAAAATGTCACTTTTGTTTTTGCAGACGTTATGACCAAATATACAGCTCAAGCACAGCTCAGTGCACACATAATGTTTGGGATATCAAAAATCTGTTCAATTTAATTAAAAAATGTCTTGCTGTATTGTTTGATCAACATGATTCCCTTAGGAATATGTGATTTTTACAAAACCCATATGGCGACTTCCTGGCAGAGCTAATGAGCAGAATTTGTAAGTTGTCCTGCTTGACCAGAGCAAGTTTGGTACATAAATAGATTATTGAAAACTTTTAATAAGATGTCATAAAATAAAAAGAAGTTTATTTTTGAAAACATATTTGCATTACAGCTTTCAAACAGTAAAATGATAACAGACCAGAGTCTAAACTACAGTACATGTGGGTTTGATAAAATCAACTTTGATCAGTTTAGGAAAATAAACGGCTGCTAACCACAGCGTCTATTGGTACAACAGATGTGGTTGTTATGAAGGAGTTTCAGTTGAGCTCAAGCATTGTGCTGCCCCCTGCTGACTACAGATGCAACTTCACAAACCGAGGCATGACGCTTTGCGCATTTAGAGTGAAATTATTTAGTGACTTTTACTTAAAAATTCAGTGCATTCCTCAGTCAGCATATTAGAAGGATTTCTGAAGGACCATGTGACACTGAATACTGGACTAATGATGCTGAAAATGCAACTTTACCATCACTATATATATATATTTTTTTTTATACATTCAAATTGAAAAGTGTCATTTTAAATTGCAATAATATTTCACAATATTACTGCTTTCACTGTATTTTTGATCAAATAAATGCAGGCTTGGCGAACAGAAGAGACTTAATTAAAAACACTTTTGAAAACTTTTGAGAAGTACTGTACCTGAAGTGCATATCCAGAATGCTCAGAAAGAAAGAAAGAAAGAAAGAAAAAGAATTGGTCCCCACATAGCAATCATGAAGCGTAAAATGCGATCCAGGATTCAGAGTTTAAATGTCACTTTGTTGCGAAACTCTCAGATGATTGTTCTTGCAGCTGTATGGCACAACTCTGCTGCTAGAATGAAAAACCCTCTGTGTTGGCATTTGTAGCACAAGATACATTATTTTAGTGTTTCTTGTATTTGTAATAATGATCACAATTATAAAATACATGTCATATTTATATAATCTCAGCTTGACATTCAGATATAATGCAGAACACCTTGAACTAAAGTAAACAAAAGTAAAACAGTAGCCATCACAGCTGGGTTCAGCTCAATGAACCACAAAACACATCTGCTCTTCCTGCTAGTCTACTGATTATAAACCTGGCACATATTAAATGTTAATTTATAGTTTGGTTCATGCATTATTTTATGGGTTTTTATTATTTAATTAGGTAAGTTGTGGCTTACATGCTTCATAATTTATTGGAAGTTTGTATTAATTGTTAAGTAAACATTGCTTATTTGTTATGATATTAAAGTATTATCTCAATAGATGTGTACTAATTAGGAGGATTATTAGGTATGAATGAACTGATTAATACAAATCATCTTGTTTTAATTTGAAATCACTTTCTTTTTGGTTTGGTTTGTTTTCAGTGAATTTTAGATTGTTACAAACTGTATATAGCATGATGTTTGTTTCATGCAAACTTTAGGAAGATGAACATTTTAGCAAACCTCATGGCAACTCCTTAGACTAAATATCTTCTATTATGTGTTTTCGTTCTCAGATAGAAGAGGAAGTCAAAGATAGGACGAAAAAAAAATAAAAATTGTGAAGGAAGTAGGCAGAAGTTTCTCAAAATGAGGAAGTCTACAAATAGTTCCATTTACTTACTGAAGTTTGTGTCAGTGCAATAACAGCAACACGAAGGTGAAAACACTTTTCAGCGCATCAGTATTCACCCATAGTTTCAGTTTACTCTTAGCACTAGTGTTCCTGAACTGGTCTTTTTTAACTATCCACTGAGTTTTCGGTCATACCACATCCTGTTCAGTTCGACAGCAATTTGAACATGGTATATAGTCGTTGTCCTTTGTAAGGTAAGAATGTGTCTATTTCTCTGCATGTAGTATTTGTTTTATGTGTATGTAAGATTTTGTGCTCAGGTATGATGTTAAACTGCATGAATTCTTCAGGCTGATTGAATTAAGTGTGAATTAAAGCAAAATTAAGCGATTGATGTGAAGAAAAAATTACAATTTTAAATGCCTTCTCTTCAGATATTTCTTAATACTTATATATTCTTGTTTCTTATATTGTAAATCTTAATATATTGATATGGAATCATGAAAATAAAAGGAAAAAGGTTCTGGTGAATCTGTTCAAATTATCTGTGTAATATCTCACTTTGTTGTGGCATTACCTGATCTGTCATTGTTTAGTTACTTTGAAGTAAAAAAGCAAAGCTATTTAAGAATATCAGATGTTTCTCTGTCTTATTGTGGACCCACAGTTCGTTTAAAGAATGCGATTGTTTGTTTTTGATTATTGATTCAACTACAAATGTATTTAATGGATTTGTGTTAATAATTCAACAACAATTTTTTAATGATTACATAAAAATCCTGAATATTTGCATTAATGTTTTTCATATGTAAACATATATAGCGAGGTCCAAATGTCTGAATTTTGGTATTCACAATGGAGATTTTGTAAAAAAAATTATATAAATATAATTTAAGGTGGAACTATCCTGAAAGTTACAGGATTTTGAAACTTTTACAACAAAGATGCTATGACAAATTTAACTAACATAACAAATGCTAATAAATTATTGCGTTATAATATAATTTCTAATGAAAGAACTGTATAATTTAGAAACTTTTCCCACTATTGGTCTTAGACTTTTAAACATATATATATGTGTGTGTGTGTGTGTGTGTGTGTGTGTGTGTGTGTGTAATATATACATTATAGTCCAGAATTAGTTGATTATTATTATTAGTTTCTAACACAAATCAAACCAAGTTTGTAAAACAAGATCTTAATAGCAACCAATTTTTATACCTACATCTTAATATAGGGCATAATATTATTATATCATCATTTTGACTTAACAAAACATCTCACCAAAATGCCGTAGGTCTAAAATGCAGAACTAGTAAAATTCCCACATTACATAATTTAAAGCTTGCACATCTGACCAGTGGCACGTCTCTGTAGCTATACATGGTTGATCACAGCCATTGTGCTGCTTTGCTGCATTTAGGGATTTCTGATGCAATTCACGCAATGCTACAACCACATTTTCCATTACAAACCTTTTATTCTTCGCTGTTAGGTTACAATGACACTTGACACTGGCTTCTTCTTTATGGAATCTTTTGTGGCTGAATTTGATGAATCTACTTCGACTCAGAATCTACTTGCTTCTCTTTCATGCATGAAAACGAGGCTCTGAGGTTTTGTATTAGCGTTTGCGTTTGAGGTTGCTTTTTAGTGAGTAAAAAGGCCAGAGGATGTGTCTTCTGTTTGTTTCATTTGGCATTTTGACTGATACTTCAGTCACATTAATTCCTCATTATTGATAATAATGGGAAAATTAATGTATATTTCTATAGACAAAATGAAGCAGAATGAAAATAAATAAAGCAAACTGTAATGCTGAGAGAGTGTACTGTATTTCCCTCAGGCCTGGCTTTCGCTGACCACTAGATAACAGCTAAACAAAAATGTAGGACAGTCATATCAAGATATATTCATTTCAACTGAGCTTAAATTGCAGAAATAAATCATTAGTTATGAGTTTGCATGGACATTATTACAATTCATTTAAAATGATTATGATGCCACACTATTTTGTGAGTGCGCTCTTTTTCTTTTTGCCACAGCGCTTGTCACGTATGTATCAACAATGTTGCATTAAGCAAATTCTCTCTTGAAGCATGAAATCGCTCATTTCCATGTCAAGTGCTCAAATGTGTGACCTTGCTTTAAGTCCTTGACTTGAGCGGTTTCATCTGGTTGGAATATAGTCATCTTTAAGTGCCTTAAACATCTCCTGGGTGTGGGCTTAAGTTGTAGTCGAGGCTGAATGTTATTGCAAAAGACTTGACCGCTTCCTCTTTCTGCGTGAACTAGTTTCTCAGTGGCGCATGCCTTTCGTCTTTTAATTTCTTACACAGGTTAGAGTTTCAAAAAAAGCTTTTATTTTTGAAGTTTCTTTATGAACATTGACATGCTGAATATGAAAATGACTTTACTTTTTGTGTATCATTAACAGTGCTCATGAAAAAACTATATATGTTGACTACTTGTACAAGCTATTCTGTTATTACTCCTGCATAAAAATGACATGGTGCATGCATTTAACATCAACAGTTAGCAAAACTTCAGAAGTGTCCGTTGGATGATTTAAAAAAAAAACATTTTTTTAGGACTAGTCCCACAATGTTCTGGAATGTTCCAGAAAGCACTACATTCTTACAGAAACTTTTGGAATATTAGAGAACATTCAGGAATGTTAGATCACTAAACTGGATGTTCTAGAATGTTCCCATCCTTGCAAATGTCTTGCATGTCATTTAAAAAACATGCAAAATTAGTACAAAAACCAACGTTTCATAATTAATGATAGAAGTTCTAAAATTTACCTGACCTAATTTACCAAAATATTGATGCTTCGTGAAAATAAATAGTATAATTAGCACCACAGGATTACAGAAGAACCATAACAAAAAAACTGAGTGAAACAAATTTTCATTGCATTGTGAAGGAACAGACAGGCAGATTCAAATGAAATGCTAAAGATAGGTGTGTCAGGTGTGAGTGAACAGAACAAACAAACAAACAAGTAAAACTCAAAAAGAGTGCTTCCTGCATTGGTACAATATTTCATTCCTTTGAAAATGTATTATATTTACAGTATAATGTAATCATGGTTAATTACTGTAGTTGGGCACAACATTCATTCATAATGCACCACAGTCTTGAGTGCCTTATTGCCTTTACATGGTTGTATATTACATAGTGTTGGAGAGTAACTAGTTACATGTAACGGAGTTAAATGGTTAAATGGAAAAAATGTGTAATTAAATTACAGTTACCTATGAAAATGTTAAAGATTACAAAGGGGGTTACATCTGAATATTTTCACACACACCCACATATAGATTTAATTGATTTCTTTCCCAAATTGCATTGACTGCTTGAAAATATGAGACAGCAATGTTTCAGGAGTTCAGGACATAGAAAATACGATAACTGATTTATTTCCTATTTGGGTTTATGTATATGATTTTGTTTTTTTAAGATTAACTGTTAGATGCCTGTGTTTCCTGTCATAGCTGTGCAAAGATTAGATTTCAAAAACAGTATCATAGCTATTAAACTATATCTTGTTATGATTTCAAATCTGTATTTAACCTCAGAACGGTCTCAAAGTAAAAAGAGGTGCTTTTGTGGTGGCTGTGCTTTAAAATGAAATGATTATAATCTTAATTCAAGTGATGAAGGATTTAGAAAGCCTGACAGTAATCAGCGCTGAGTCCTGCTGTAAGGTTAACCCTGCCTGCGTTTAATGTTTCATAAAGATTAACAGAAAACATTCGTTAGAAATTTAGAAAAGTAATCAATAGATGAGGGTTTGCTTGAAGCCTCTCACTGGTTTTGACTACTACAAAAAAAAAAGAGAAATGATCTACACATGTCTTTTTCAGGTTATTAGCGGTCCTCTTAGCTTTGGCAGACGGTTGAGCAGATATGGTGGACAAGGTGCAGGTGCTGCCGTACTTCTTCGGCAACATCACGCGAGAGGAGGCGGAGGAGTACCTGCGGCAGGGAGGAGCGGGGGACGGCCTGTACCTGCTGCGCCAGAGCCGCAGCTTCCTCGGCGGGTTCGCTCTGTCGGTGGCCTACGGTCGCCAGCTCTACCACTACACCATCGAGAGGGAGATGAACGACACCTACGCCATCGCTGGCGGCAAATCTCACAGAAACCCCATAGATGTGATCGACTACCACTCGCAGGAGTCCGACGGGCTCGTCTGCCTGCTGAAGAGGCCCTTCAACCGGCCCCGGGGCACAGAGCCTAAAGTCGGGCCCTTTGAGGACCTGAAAGAACAGCTCATCCGGCAGTACGTCAAACAAACCTGGAATTTGCAGGTTGGTGTCAGGTTAAAACTTAAAACATTTGGTAACCCTTTAGACATTCTGCTAACTATAAGTCACTTTGCAATACTTTGAAACACTGTCTGCTTAATATCTGCTAACACTTCATTCTGATGGTCCTTCAGCACACATTCTACTGAGTATAAGTAACTTTGCACGTCAACTTATTCTGTTAACCCTGAACTAACAGACTAATAATACTCTAATGAGAGCCAGCTGACATGTAGTTGCACAGTTAGTTACAGTTAGCAGAATGTCTAAAGTGGACTATCAAAATTATGTATAACCCTTTATTTAATAGCTCAGAGGTTGCTCTTTCATAGCTCAGAAAACTATAGTATTTGCAGCACACTTTCATGGTAATTCATAACTTTTTGGCAGACTTTCATGAATTTGTACAATCACTTTTTTTTACGTTTTCACACAGTACAATCTGTTTGCGCTCTATTGACAGCTAGATTTAGTTAGATTTTATTTCTTAACACGTTTCTGTATAAATCAGATTGTACAAAGTGATACAAATTTGCCAAAATGTAAAATAGTTACGTTTTCTCATGAGTTTGGTATTTGAGTCATTAGTTATGCTCAGAATGAGACAATTGTTGCAACAGAGTATTGAGCTCATGTATTTACTACTTATAAACCGGAGAGTTCCGGTCCTTGATTCTGATTGGCTGAGCCACGTTCGAAGCTGTTGTAAATTACTCTACAAACATACACCTTTGTTTACGTCTGTGTGTTGCTCGGCAACCACTTTGTTGCAACCACAGCTGATTCTGAGGAACTACATTGTTTGGTGGAAGAATACTGTTTATATTAATATCATTACACTTTATTTGCTCTGTTTTATTCTGTGAAACCTTACTACGTATATGCAATAACCGTTTTATAAAAGCAATAAGCCCCGTGAAGCCGTGGTTTACAGTGAATTTATAACAGCTAAGAGGCGTTGTTAGGCACGACGAGGAGTATTATTACTTTTTCTTTGTCTTATTGTGCATGAAACAACTTTATTTGGCTGAAGTTTCAAATCCTTCTTTCGTTTCCAACTACTTCCCTCCAACCCCCTTGCTCATTTTGGTACACTGTAAAAATAGATTTTTTTCAAAGTTGTAAATAAAACAAACATTATTGGAGTATGTTTTACAAGAAAATACTATTTCAGTCTTTCTACTTCAGGATTCCATGTTTAGTTCAATGTGGTGCTTGCTGTTTCTTTGTAATTAATTTACAGTGAAAATTACATTTTGCATGTTAAATATACCACTTCAGTCAGAAGTACAGTATGTGAGATTACGAGAATAAAATAAGCTGTGAAAATTTCATGTTTCACTTGTCGCAACAGTCTTCACACATATTTTGTTTTGTTTTGTGGAGCCAGCTTTTGAACATTTGCATCAATTGTGAATGCATTTATTTAATGCCCCTATGCTGCATTAAAAAGGTCAGCACAAATGCACATTTGTTGGTGTAAGACTGGAGCAGTTTCTTAGCTGTGTTTGTGGTGTGGCAGGGCTCGGCTCTGGAGCAGGCTATCATCAGCCAGAGGCCTCAGCTGGAGAAACTCATCGCCACAACAGCTCATGAGAAGATGCCGTGGTTCCATGGCAAGATCGACCGCGAGGACTCAGAGCAGCGGCTGCTCAGGAGCTCACACGTCAACGGCAAATTCCTGTGAGTCTCATTCACTTGTTATGCAAGCTAAAAAAAATATTAAAAAAAGAGAAATGGACTTGGACTATTTTATTTTCTGCTTTTAAGAATCAGCCAGAATACATACTAGCTACAGTGCATAATCTAGAGTTACACTACCGTTCAAAAGTTTAGGGTCAGTGGGATTTTTGTTTATTTATTTTAAGAAATGACACTTTTATTCAGAAAGGATGCATTCAGTTGATCAAAAGTAACAGTAAACACTTTTACATGGTTACGGAACAAACAAACAAAAAAAGATTCCAAATAAATGCTTCTCTTGAACTTTCAAAATCTAAGAATCTTGAAGAAAATATATCTCAGTTTCCAGAAAAATATTGGGCAGCACAACAATGTTTTCAACATTGATAATAATCAGAAATGTTTCTTGAGCAGCGAATCAGCATGATTTCTGAAGGATCATGTGACACTGAAGACTGGTGTAATAATGCTGAAAATTCAGCTTTGATCACAACAATAAATTACAGTTTACACAGAAAACAGGTATTTGAAATTGTAATCATATATTACAGTGTTTACTGTATTTTTTAACAAATACATTTGAGCAGAAGAGACTTCTTTCAAAAACAGTCCTTTGAATGGTAGTGTATATTAAATAAAGTTCATAGAAATATGTAATTGTTTATAGTGTATCATTTAGTTTGCCAATGAGGCCAAAGTAAAGCAATGTTTTTATTTTTGCCTGAATCACATGAGCGTAAGTCATTTTTAGTTCATCACTAATATTAAAATTTGAATTGCGAAGGAATTACTGCTTCAAAACTACACAAGGAAGAGATTAAATTGAGCAGTGGATCTGAGTAGGAGCGCTGGATGAGGCATGTGCCAGGGCTTTGGACTGTAGCGCCACTGCTCTGAAGTGAAAGAAGCAAGGCAGCGTGAGCTTTCCGCTGTGACAGTGTTTGAGAGCACTTCCTGAAGTGACCGAAGACGGAAAACAAGAGCAGGGCTGGGTGGGGGTGGTGTGTGCTTGCTTTAAATAGCACACTTAAAACACACGTATGTGGTGTGATAGTCTACAGAAAGATGGAAGAAGAAGAAAGTTTGTTTACAAGACACATGTGGCTTTATTATCATGAGAATCGTGCCATTAGCTTCCAATTTCCTAGTTTTTACTAAAGCTAAAACATGTCTATATTCATCTTTTTTTTTTGTATAACTTGCTGTTTATTTTTTATATTTGCATTTCGATTAAACGTTGGTTTAACAACTGCATCCACACTGAATCTCAATTCAGAGCGAATCTCTGTTTTGAAATCATCAGTTTTTCTCCTCCAGCTCCATCTAGTGTTGATTTGTGTAGAGTATACTGTAATCAGGTGACAATTTGAAAGAGCCTCTGTAAATGGCTGTGGATGATACTCTATCCTCCTCTTTCCTCCTGACAGAATTAGGCAAAGAGAAAACAATGGCAGAAACGTGTCCTATGCGCTGTGTCTCCTGCATAATAACCATGTCATGCACTATCGTATTGATAAGGACAAGGCTGGCAAACTCTCCATTCCTGATGGGAAGAAGTTCGACACACTTTGGCAGGTAAATAAATCCTGTCAAGAGACTTCAGAGCAGATGATGAGCAGACTTCAAAGTCTATACATACATTGATCAAAGGTGACAGTAAAAAACCTTCAGAATGTTACAAAAGATTGTATTTGAAATAAATTCAATTCTTTTGAATTTTTTTATTCATGAAAGAATCCTGAAATAAATAACTAGCAGCAAGAAAAAACTAACTGTTTTTACATTCAGCAAATCAGCATATTAGAATGATTTCTGAAGGATCATGTGACCAGTGTTGGGGGTAACTCATTACAAGTAACGCGAGTTACATAATCAGATTACTTTTTTCAAGTAACTAGTAAAGTAACGCATTACTTTTTAATTTACAAGAGAATATCTGAGTTACTTTTTCAAATAAGTAACGCAAGTTACTTTTTTTTCCCAATTTCTTGATTGACAGCTCTCCTGTCCCCATGTTGAGAGAAGATGTTACAGTAGTTCTAAAATAAATATGAATATGCATTAATTCATCTCACTCACAAAAAAACAACAACACAGATGAACATATATTTTAAAAAAGAACATTTATTTTAAATTGCAAAAATATTTCACAATTTTACATTTTTTACTATATCTTTGATCAAATAAATGCAGCCTTGGTGAGCATAAGTGACTTCAATTAAAAATCATTATGTTTATCATTATAGAAAATAAAGACCTCAGATAATTAGCAAAAAGTGATTTATTATTTTTCAGGCTTGTCTATTGTATATGTTATGACCCACTGTCCTAAAGAGAATCTCGTAGAGATGGATAATTGTTTTGAATGTGGTGACCAACAGGACAAACGCCATTTTATATTTAGATTTCCTGGTTGAGTGGCTGTGCATGATGCATGGCATCAAAGATTTAGCAAGGTAAATGCTACAGCTAGGCCATTAACTAGTCCTCAGACACATCTCTCACATTGTGTTTAGGAGAAGCTCTGCATGGTTCGAATGAGGTGGGTGTGCAACTGTGCATTGAAAGTGTATGTTGATGTAGAAATAGACTGATATCTGTGGTGCATCACAACTTTACTGTGTAGCTTTTCAGAGGTGCGCTCTTTTGGAGTATGTAAAGAAATTATATAAACACAGCATCTTATATAAAGCTATACAGTGTGTTCATAAATGATGTATATTCTTTTCAGATGAAGCCTTACCAAAGAAACATACACATAACACTAATGGTAGTTTATCGACCGTTGGTGAAAAACAAAGTATTCTGTGAAACAGGCCTCAGCTTGAGAAACGTGACCACAATACTCTGTGATACTGTGAGGATGTCCAGAATCTGACTTTGATGTGCACTGTGTTGTGTGCTATAGCTGGTAGAACATTATACGTACAAGCCTGATGGCCTGCTCCGAGTGCTAACCGAGACCTGCCCGAGACCATCACATAACTCAGAGGTAAGTACAGTCCCATCTCGAACCAAACGCAGCAGTGAGAATGTGATCTGATATATGAGCTTGCTTTAAAGAAAAGACTTTAAAGTGCACTGACATGTCAGACTATAGAAACCAGTCACATCGAGGACTGTAGTACTGTTTAAAACATCCACAGATAATTGTTATTTGCTTCACTGAAAATATTTTTTTTTTTAAAAACATGCACAAATTGAAGGAAATTATCCTGTTCATTAAACTTAGTGTAAGTTCTTGCTAGTGTGATAAAGTAAAGAAGTGGTTCTCAACCGGTGGTTCGTGACCCAAAAATGTTGTCACAGACAATAGGGAAAGACCATGTTAAATGCAATAAGAAAAAGGAACTAACCATATCATTTACAGACATGTTGATGATGGGAAAATTCCTCCAAGAAACTATGCAGTCATTCATGAAAGTTTTGTTTTCCTCCAAGCAAGCAAAAGTTCCCTCGAGAAAATTGTGTTCGTTTGCAAAAATGTTGGATTCCCTCAAGAAACTTTGCATTTGCTCACAAGGAACAGAAACTTCCCGTTCGCTCACGAAAGTTTTGCGTTACTCAGAGAAATTTTGCATTCCCTCACAAAGAACACAAAGCTTTTGCAAGCAACTGCAAACACACCGAAATATCATTTTTCCTCCAAGACCATTTTTTCCCCATCACCGTGTCCTGTTAGGGTCTTTGTATCATCTGGCTTAGCAGCAAAATAAATTAAAGCTTATTCCATTTCCTCATCCTCAAAAACCTGAAAACCCAAAAACCTGATGCAGATTATGAATGATTAAGTTAAAGACAAACCAAAATGGTACGTTTTCCGCTTAATGAGAAAATTACACACTTTCTTATACGCCTCATTAATTAATTTACGCGGTCTATGCAGTAGATTTGATTTTAAGGACATTTAACCACTTCTGCTCCTGTGTTGGGTTAAATCTGTGTCCTGAAGTAAAGCCTGCTGAGAACCACTGAACTAGGCTGTGCCAATCCACGTAACACAAGGGCCACTGCAAATGCTATCATGTCAATGTTGCTGAATGTACACTGAATTCGTGAATTTGCAGAGCTAATTACTGAAGACAGTATAACGCAATATTAATGGGTTATGGATGTATAGCATTAAACATGAGCATCGAATAGTGTAGGATAAAAATAACCTAATGCTCTTTAAAATTGTGGTTTCTAGCCAGGTGCCACAGGTGGGATTCTCTCCAGAATCAAATCATACTCCTTCCCCAAACCTGGCCAAAAAAAGGTGCACTAACACACCCCTCTCCTCCTCCCTATCCCCCACTGGCAGTGGTAGGACACCCGCCTTGCTTGCGTGTGGTTTTTGCTTCTAACTTCGCACCTCTCTGATCTCTTCCTCCATTCACTGCCCTGTACATCACATCTAATCTATAACTACTCACATTCATATAGACACATAGATATAATCAATTTCTGATTTACAGATTTACTGATTTAAATTAAAGGGTTAGTTCACCCAAAAATGAAAATTCTGTAATTAATTACTCACCCTCGTGTTGTTCGAAACCCGTAAGACCTTCGTTCATCTTCGGAACACAGTTTAAGATATTTTTGATTAAATCTGAGGGCTCTCTGACCCTCCCATAGACAGCAAGGTAACTACCACGTTCAAGGTCCAGAAAAGTAGGAAGATGATCGACAAAGTAGTCCGTGTGACATCAGTGGTTCAACTGTAAAGTTACGAAGCTACGAGAATACTTTTTTGCGCAAAGAAAGCAAAAATAAGGACGCCGGATCTGGGTCAGCGCTGGCGCCGCCACACACTCGCATCATGGTACTGTCGTGAACGCGCGTCCAAAATGACGCAGTAGAGACGAAAATGTGGAATAAAGTCGTTATTTTTGTTTTCTTTGTGCAAAAAAAGTATTCTCGTAGCTTCGTAACTTTACAGTTGAACCACTGATGTCACACGGACTACTTTGTCGATCATCTTCCTACTTTTCTGGACCTTGAACGTGGTAGTTACCTTGCTGTCTATGGGAGGGTCAGAGAGCCTCATATTTCATCAAAAATATCTTAAACTGTGTTCCGAAGATGAACGAAGGTCTTACGGGTTTCGAACAACACGAGGGTGAGTAATTAATGACATAATTTTCATTTTTGGGTGTACTAAGCCTTTAAAAGAATGGTTGTGCATTATTACCATCCATTTGACACATTTTCACCTTGATTGCCTATCCACCTTATTTGTAACATAAGTGCGGGCGCAGCTATTTTTACTTTGCATGTGTAAGGCTTCCGATGTCATTCGCTTCCAGTTATTTTAGCTCTACTGGTATTTGTTATCGTATTATTTTAATTTATTATCAAAATCATGAACACTGGTTTGTAGGCAAATAGTTTTACTTTTTACTGTTTATTCTTCTAGTTATTGACCAATAGCGGCTAATGAATCGGAAATCTCACACATTCAAAGAAAATAGCTTGCAAAATAAGGTGGATAAAGGATGTAGGTCAGGGCACATTTGCTTGAATTTATTTTTATTTCTGTAGTTAAAAGTTTTTATAATACTATTATATATCCTATAGTATTTTAGCCTATTTTAACTGGTCTTCAGGTATGGCTGATTTCAGCTGGGTTTCGGGAACTAAACCAGGAGACCAGCTTAGACTGGTTTAAGATGTTTTCTCAGCAAGGATTTGAAAACCTAAACCATTTCTCTTCAACAGTAAAACCAAAACTGTAAAAGTATTTTTATTATGAAAAGCTGCATTGGGAAGGTTGGTTGTAGTATTTACTCACTAATTTTCCATGATATATTTTGAGTGGTTATTTGGCTCTTACATTGCTGATATGAGCTCAGATAGTAGCTATTTACGCCCATCAAGCAACATAGAAATTTGTCAATATAGAATGTGTGCTCACAGATGTTGCCTTCATTTGAATTGTACAACAGCTATTGATCCAGAACTATACATCTGATTAGATATTAGTTAAAATGCATTTGAATGCATCATAGTACTTCTGGCACAAATGCTGGTCCAAAAGGGAGGTAGCATAATTTTGCTCCCTTTTGAGATACTTCTGCCTGACGCCAACGTCTTCTGGAATTAGTCTGCTGTACACTTTGTGTGAGAAGTGCTATTTAAATGACTCACAAATTGTGGCTTATGTCGAAAGTTTCAAATCAGTCATCAAATCAATCCGCTTGCACCTCAGGGTTTGAAAAAAAAGCAATTAATGACTTTTTTTCTTTTTTGGAAGAGATGGCAATCATTTGTGTTGATATTGTCTAGTTGCTTTTTCATCTTCTAACAGGTGTCATTACCCCAATCATGCATATTTTCATTCTCCTTCTCTATCACTCCTTTTGAATGATATAAATGACATAATTATCAATCCTATCTGCAAGAGATCTCTTTTTTTTTTTATTTATACACTATGTGTTGGCTTTTGACCTTTTGGAAGAAGGTTCTCCTCTTCTTCATGGACACTGATCGCATCACGTATAATGAATTGCCATTTATTTACCATTGAAACATCTCAGTAAATGCAATTATGCGTTCGATTCTGATTTAAGGTGCCATGAAGAACACAGGAAAGTTTGGTTTGACCCTGTCCCTCTGTCCCATTGATGCATGTAGGCATTTCAGATAACATGCCTGTGTGCTATCAGCTTTTTCTATGCTAATCCGTTATATGTAATCTGTTCTATGCTAATAATTGTGTTCTGTGTTTATAGGTTCATATTGAAAATCCCTATAACTTTAGATCAAACATCAGAGGTGAACTTCCTAAGCCTAATATCTTCAACACAGGTTAGTTTACCTAGTTTTGCTTCAACACACTACCACTTGTTTTAATGATCTTTAAGACTAAAATCTTTCTCTTCTGACTAAACGCTGCACCATTGTTTTGACAGAGGCTATGCCAATGGACACACGGGAGTTTGAAAGTCCATATGCAGATCCTGAAGAGCTGCGATCAACGACAGTGAATCGGAGCGACCTGACTCTGGAAGATGGAGAGTTGGGCTCAGGCAACTTCGGCACTGTCCTAAGAGGAGTCTACCAGATGAAAAAGTTAGTCAACTAAGTTCACATAGAAACATCTCATGTGGATTTTTTTAACAGAGTGTCTATTTACACTAAGTGCATAGAGCCCACCTTGTTGGCAGAGGCTATTTACAGTAACTCTGCCCATCAGTGTCTGGTTGGGATAGACAAAATGACAAAAGACACCTGCCATACAACAGCAAAAGTGGCGTAAGGTATAAGGCACGTGGCGGAAACTTTTGACGCGAACGGCCCGAGTCCAAAACAGCCTTTTGCTGAACTCGTTCTTGTCCCTTTTTCCCATCACATATCAGATCAGCAAAGTGTTTATTTTCAATAAAAATTAAGGAAGTATTCAAAAAGTGGAAATAAAGTGCTTCACGGGTATTTAAAGTGTTTAGGGTTAGGTGTAGGGAGGGCTTTATTATCCCAATAAGGCGGCATCAATTGAATAATTTTAAGAACAATGATAATTTACACTCAATACGGTATTATTGCACACTGTTTTATAATGTACTACAATACTGAGGTGCAAATATCTGCCACTGTTTGCGCTAATAAATAGCATCTAACTACTATTTACTCTTATTGCAAAAAAATACTGCTATTTTTACTTAGTGTCAATAGAGTTATTTGCACTTAGTGTAAATAGAATCCATTTCTATTTTCACTTAGTGTAATTAGCATCTTTTGCTAAGAAAATATGCTATTTGCACTTTTTACTTTAAGAATATAAAACCTGTAAATGCCCAAAATAGTCAAAATTCAGTATCAATGCAAGATCATATATCAAAAAAATATACTTTTTCTCATTTTCAAAAGAATTACATATTGATATTATATTCTAAATGCCTGAAATGGTTTAACTAACAAACAATACAATATTGTGTGTATTTTAGCTTTCTTGCCACAAAGCATGATGGGAAATGTGGTTTGGTTGTTTAGTAGTTTGGTCTGCTTCCTCATGTATTGCAGAAGTATTGAGCTTCCCTCTGGTAATTTACGACTCTACTGCAAACATTTTGATGGTACATGATAAAAATGATTCCACATCATTTCTTGGTTCATTTGGGAACATTTTATTGGTAAAAAATATTTTTGACCACCCCCCATAACCATGGTGCAGAATCATAGAGAAAATTCTTAATTCACATATCATAAGGCAATGCTCGGAGTGCAATACAAAATCACAAATCTTTGTCAAAAATGTCAAGAAATCATTAAAGTAAAAAGGGAAAAACACACTGATATATTGGATTTGATACAGGCATAGGTTTGTATCATGCAGTGTGTCGTGTTATATGCATGTCCTTCATGTTATGAGATTTCATTCCGTGTGAAACTTCAAAAAGCACTTCTCTGCTGTGAAAAAGACATGTATGTTACACTTTTTGCACATCACTTTGGGCTGCATCTTTCCTTTTTGTCACACATTATTTGCCAGTGTGAGGTTTTGTCCAAGTGGACATCCTGGTTAGGGATGGGAGCCATGGGCCCCTGCTTATCACACAACGTTGCCCTGAGGCAACGAAAATAAAAACTGAATTTCTGAACATGCAAAATAAAAAAACTTGACAAAAGTCTTCTCTACACCTTCATACACACACATATTTTTATGTACAGTTCATGTCATTTTAAGTAAGATTACTTTCTTCTCACACCATGCGCTCCTGTGACCATGCATCAGAAAAGGAAGTCCTGTCTTCAAATGGTGCTTGATAGTGACTAAACCTTATTAGACTGTTCTTTGATACTTTTCGACCATTTTAATTGTTTGCAATCATTTAAAGAAACATGTACTGAACATGGGGCTTAAGAAAACTTTCCGTTGCCTGAGGGCAATGCTGTGCTGTAGAGGGTTAATGATGCCATTCATGTGCACTCAACTCGTAAATATGATTTCCGACATGACATGAACACCTTGTTTCATTGACACAGTGTTCAGCATTCAGAATGGATCTTCTTTTATGTTTAATTCAGGACACAGAAGGTTGTTGCTGTTAAGATTCTGAAGAATGATGATAATAACGCGGCGGTGAAGGAGGAGATGCTGCGAGAAGCGAACGTCATGCAGCAGCTGGATAACCCGTACATCGTTCGTATGATCGGCATCTGTGAAGCAGAGAACCTCATGCTGGTTATGGAGCTCGCTGAGCTGGGGCCGCTGCACAAGTTCCTCCAGAAGAACAAGTATGCCACGCTAGAAATACTTCATAAGATATCAGAGCTGTGCTGAACTGTGAATACAGTGATGGCTGAAGTGCATTGATAAGCAATGTGCAGTAACTTTATTCACAAGATTCTATTAACATTAAGCAACTACTTACTTAACTCTTCCATACACAACAGTTTATAATGACTTCAACGAACAAGCCAAAAATGTCAAAATCGCACCATTAAAATGCCATAAAGCATCATAGAACATACAATCTGTCTGCTATATTCCACATTTTCTGGTCATGTGAAGTCACTGGTAGCACTTTCCAATAAATTCTCAACATTAGTAAATGCATTAGCTAACATGAACTAACAATCAGCAATATATTTTCACCACATTTATTAATCTTTGCAGTAACACTTTAGATTAGGGAACACATATTCACTATTAACTAAGAGTTTTCCCCTCAATAAACTTCTAATTTGCTGCTTATTGATAGTAAGAAAATTAGTTGTTGTAGTAGTTATGTTTAGGGTTTAGGGACCTAGAATAAAGTTATACAGAATAAGGCATGAATATGTGCTTTATAAGTGCTAATAAACAGCCAATATGATCGTAATATGCATGCTAATTATCAACTTGTTAATAGTGAATAGTGTTCCATAACCTAAAGTATTACCATCTTTGTTAATAGAAATGTTAGTTAATGGAAAAACAATTGTTCATGTTTGTTTACAGTGCATTAACTAATTTTCACAAATACAACTTTTGATTTTAGAAATGTTTTAGTAAATGCCGAAATGAAGTAACTAAGATTTATAAATGCTGTAGAAGTATTGTTCATTGTTATTGTACTAAAGTTAACAAATTAGTTATTATTCACTGAAAAATTTCCCATCAATAACAGATAAGCATTGCATTTAGTGACATGACAAGAACCAGTGGTCACACTTACCAGTCAGTAAACAAGAATCCATGGGATCTTTCATATGAGGGTGAAAAATTTCTTATGCAGATTTTGCTTGCGTTGGTCTCATGAATTTGCTGCACTGACCAACCAAAAGCTGCTTGGTATGAAAGTGACTTCTATGTGAGCTGTGCTTCAAGTCAAGTCAAGTCACCTTTATTTATATAGCGCTTTTAACAATACAGATTGTGTCATAGCAACTTTACCGTATTAAATAGGAACATAGTGTGTCAATAATGCAAAATGACAATAGTAAACACAAAATTTTCAGTTGAATTCAATTCAGTGATGAATTCAGTGATGTCATCATCCAGCTTAGATCAGTTTAAATAGTATCTGTGCAATCAAGTCGACGATATCGCTGGACATTAAGTGTATATTAAGATAATTAAGCTTCATACATTTTTACACTGTTGACTCACCAAAATGACACTAATACACTGCGTACAATCCACCTAACTTTATAACAACTTCTAGTACGGTAATTGATATGGGAATTAATGTATTTGGTAACTGGTTTTGGACCATGTTAGGAGACTGAGTTTATGCTGTGTAGAGTTTCATGACTGAACTTCATGTCATGAACAGTAGTAGTGTTGTTAATTGTTAACCGCTTTTCACTTGTGTTTTCAGACACATCTCTATGAAGAACATCACAGAGCTGGTTCATCAGGTCTCTATGGGAATGAAATATCTGGAAGAGCACAACTTTGTTCACAGAGATCTTGCAGCGAGGAACGTGCTTTTAGTCACTCAGCACTATGCAAAAATCAGCGACTTTGGACTCTCTAAAGCCCTGACAGAAGAAGAGAACTATTACAAGGTACAGTAACCAGTAACTAATCAGGGCTTTTCAATGACTGATGCACACAGTGCCCTCCAGAAGTATTGGCCAAAGGTCAAAATGTTTCAACACATATCTGTAAATGTTTTACCAAGTAAGAATGCAAGCCATTTTAGATCTACATACCCTCATTACAAAAGCTTTACGTTAGAGAGTCAGGGTCTAAAGCCCAGTTCACACCAAGAACGATAACTGTAAAGATAACGATATTAGCGTCCACACCAGAGAACGATATAGTATGTTCATTCTAAGCGCACATGCGTCTGTCGCAAAGCTAACTATAAAGATAACTATAAAGATAACGATATTAGCGTCCACAC